CTTCAGTCTTGGTTCCGGCTCTGTCTCGTGGCGGGCTACTCGCTCGTCCTCTGTTCTCGGCTCCAGTTGTGAGGCTGAGATCTACGCCGGGGCCATGGCTGCACAGGAGCTTCGCTGGCTCACCTACCTGCTGACTGACCTTGGAGAGCCGCCTCGTTCTCCTCCAGTGCTGTACGTAGACAACAAGGCCATGCTGGCCTTGTGTCGAGAGCAGCGCTTGGAGCACAGAACGAAGCACATTGCTCTCCGTTACTTTCTTGCTCGTGAGCTGCAGCAGCGTGGTCAGTTGCGACTTGCGTACGTGGCCTCTGAGGCCAACACTGCTGATGTGTTCACCAAGGCACTTCCGCCTTGTGACCATCAGCGCTTCTGCACTCAGCTGGGTCTTGTACCTGTCTTGCCTCACTTGCTCTCCTCTTGACCTTGCTTGTACTGTCACATATATATACCTGCTCTTGCTTGTCTAGCTCTATATATATATGTGCACTCCTGCATGTGAACTGGCCTTGTGGCCTTGTCGTTGTGCTCGGACTGTGTGGTGACTTTGTGATCCACCCTGAGCTTGCTGTTCTTTGCGTGACTGGTCTTGTGACCCCTTGTTCTCCCCCACATTGCCTATGGGGGTGTGTCAGAACATATATATAGCTTATGCTGTTGTGTAGGCTATAGTGGGGTATCCCATAGGGGGTACAACCCAATTAGGGTTTCCTATATGTACTCACTTCATTCATAGTTCATCCATTCTCGTTCTCATTCTCACATGAAGTGTGTCTTGTCGCACGTCTTGTCGGTCGGCCCAAGTGCTCGGATTCGGCTGGCGTTTGCTAGAGCGGAATTTGCATCGCTCCGCCGAGCGCCCGAAATGTTTACAAGTTTTGTAGTAGTGGCGCCGCGGTCGTCGCTCTTCTTTGTTGTCGGCGTAGAAGGCGAGTCAATCTCGTCGCGGTGCGGGACGATCCTTGTGCAGGTCCATGTCCAATTGTTCGACGAGAAGGGCGGCGCAAAGGGCAGCTTCCGAGATAGCTCCATGTTGCTGGAGGAGCGCCTTGCAGGGTCGCCATTCGGGGCCGAGTCCTGCGAGCACGATGGTGACGAATATTTTTTTTCGGAGATCGAACTCCCATGCTTTGCGATTTAATAGCGTATGCTCTGGCAACGATTGATGTAGCTGCTCGCTTTCTCCCCGGGCCCCATTTTTACACTCCATCAGATGTTGGAGTAATCTGCTCGACAAGACTGAGTCCTTTGGCTGATACAACTTTGTGAGGTACCGCCAAGCTTCGAGTGCCGGAACCGGCTTCGTTTAGCGAATGCCCAGCTGCTCCGTCGGTGACATGTTCCTTAGTAGAACGATGTACGCCATGAGTGAGTCGTTATTATACTGCGCTCTGGCATCGTCGGTGTCCACCGTTGGGCCTGGGTAGCTGCAGTCAAAATAATACTAGATTTGCGCGTTCTGCAGCAGCAGCAGCTCCAGCTCAAAACTCCATGTGTAAAAGTATTTCCCGTAAAAACTGTACTTATCTAAATCTTTTAAATGTTGAGGAATTTCGACTGGGCTGAGAGCATTGCATCATCACTTCGACGTGGGGTATTTGGTGTTGATGTGTTTGTGTCGAGGGAGAAGGATTGCGGGGCGGTTTCGCGGCCAGTCGCGGCCGGTTGAGTGGGTTGGGAGGAGGTTCCCGCGTCGCCATTCTGCAATGTCTGGAGCCCTTGCTCCAGAGTTGATAGTCGCTGAGGTAGTTGCTCCAGTGCGACCGAGCTGATTGTCGCCGTCGCTTTCGAGCTTGCATCCGGATTCGGTTGGGCTTCAGCCGTTGGTTTTTCTTGACCTCCTGACCCTCCAGCCATCTTGACGAGTGAACGCGTGCCGGACGCCACATTTAGTTCGTAAGAACTTTTGGAGGTGGCAGTGCGAAGAATTCCAGAGTTTCTCTCATTCCATGTTACGATTCTACGGGGGACCTTGCCAGGATCCCCCTTAGGTTGTTCGCAGAGAGTTTTAATGCAGCGGAAGTAAATGACATCAAGTCATTGTGAATGTAAAATGACTGAAGAGGTTATAACAGAAGCATACATAGGTTTATATATAAAGTACAAGGAAAACGAAACGACCCATTGTCGTTTACACCTTCCTTAGTGGTGACGCTAACTATTATTTATGGATGGCCAATACATTTCTCTTCATGATTGACGCGTGAGGCAATGGCAGACAAAAGAGATCATATCGCCTTTCCTACCCTTGCGTGGGTATTCATATGTCGTTCACTCAGCAAAGGGTGTATTATTTTGGGATGCGGGTTACGCCAGGTGTCCCTCTATTTATATTCACGTAACCTATTTTGTCTTGACAAAACCTTCCAGTGGCTTTGTGCATGCAAGCTGGACCCAAGGACAACAATCTAGTGAGTCGATTCACACGCGGTTTCTGGTTCGGCAAACGCGGTTTCTTCTGCTTTCGCAATCTTTTACGATCTTTCTGAATTTGAAATATCAAGGAAGCCCACCGGCTCCTCCACTCGCTGCCAAAGTACGAATCTGTGGTTAGAATCTCATATCATATGACAAATCCATGTCATCGTCGATAAGCACGGGCAAGTCTTTTCATTAATGCAAAGAGACAAGCGTTATCGATTGTCTTGGACCAACCGAAAATATCTGTGGCGGAGCTGAAAGCTTGGAACGGTGGTGCGACCGAGTGAAGCAGCACGCCTACAAAAAATTATCAAGTGCAAACTTGCATGTGATCCGATCTAATTTGCGCCCGTAGAATTGAAATAGCTCCAGCTCACATTTTCAGTGTTGTCGCAAGTTACCACATAACAAGGCATTTATCCGCATGGCAGCCTCTACTAGGGACGACTAAGGTAGCACTCTGGCGCCGAACCTCCTGCACCGTCACCGTCACACAACACAAACAAGGCCAAGGGACGGGTTTTCAGCTTAGCGGGGACAGGTACCTGGACCCATCCGCTTTCAGGGGACGAGCAGCGCTTTCTGCGCACAGTTTCCACAAAACAGTGGGCTAGGGGGGGACAGTTTTTGTTCAAGTTAGAGACTCGAGTTCTCAATGAGCCACGTTTCTCACTTTTCACAGAGAGTTCACTGTAGGTGTTCAATCACAGATTCCCTACTGCTCTGGCTTGTCGTTTCTACCCAATAAGGGCAGGGCATAAAAATATAAACCCCTAGGGAACCTTGACGCATTTTTGGGAGGGATCAACCCTAAACACGGGAAAGGGCATTGTTTTTAGGGTTTCGGGTCAGGGGCTGCAATATATATCCTCACATTTTCTCAGGGTTTCCGGTGCAATATACAGGTTTGGAAACAGTAGTTTGACGAGCCACCCAAAACGTGGGCTGGATTCGGTATAAAAGACAAGCAGGCGCAGTGCAGGATCTGTGTGATTGTAGATCTACAGTGAGCGAGCTGCGTAGAATGTAACACGTGGCTCATTGAGAGCTTGAGTCCCTAACCTGAACAATAACTGTCCCCCCCTAGCCCAGACTTTTGCAGAAACCGTGCGCAGAAAGCGCTGTCCGTCTCCTGAAAGCGGAGGGGTCCAGATACCTGTACCCGCTAAGCTGAAAACCCAAGCGGGGAGCGACAACACAAGCGCGAGGAAATGCTACAGTGCTTCGGATTCCCGAATCCATTCCCCGATTCGTGTTTCCCGATTCCTTCCCGAACCAGGGATGCAATCGCGCGGGAGCAGCATTCCCTCTTGCCCGCTGACATCAGGCGGGCCTAGAACGGCTACACACCGCTCGATCGGCTGGCCGAACCGTCGTGCAAATGCTGTCGATTGGTTGATTTGTTATTGTGTGGATGTGAACCAGCTGCCACACGCTTTTGAAATGCGCGTCGTCCCTAAAATTTTGTCCTGCTGCACTGCCAGCCAAATTCTAACACCCGACGTAACATGCGTTTCGGTTTCTCTCGGTATCTGTATGTTGAACCAGTTTCTCCGTGGTACCTCTGACTTTGACCACCACCCATACCGAATAGTGATGCTACTGAACTGGTGGTTCTCCCAAGTTCTCTTCATTCAGCAAGCCGAGCCCATTGATGCTTGTTTGCGAACGTCAAACCCAGCAACACCATGGCCCAGCTTACTGCACTATTCTGAACCATACCAAACCATTTCGTGTCTAGCATTTTTCAAACAGAAGCGTACACGCGCAACAAACTACCTGTCCAGACATAGAAAAGGTTGGACAGGTAGTTGTACTACTTTTCACAATACGAAACCAGTGGCGTAGAGTTCTGGCGAGAGAAACTGCGTTCCTCGTTCCTCTCCACGATACGCATTGCCTCTCGCGCGGCTTTACTAGGAGGGTCATACTCTGTATATAAGAACCAACAACTGATATCCGAGAAACACAGCGTGCGTCTCTTCTCAAACGGCATACGACCAATACTGTGAATTCTGGTACCATCACATACTGTGAAAGGAAAGCGAGCCACTCTTGACCAAATGGATTCTTTCAAAAGAGTAGAGCTCGGCCCGAATGAGTTCGCGTATTCCCAGCCCGCATTCTTCAGTTTTCCGTCTCTCCATTGCAACACCATCTCGAAGCTGATTTCTTCTTCCGGCGACGAAAAAGCTCCAGCTTCTGCGATTTTCGCAGCCGCGGTGGCGCCCCAAGCTCGGAGTTTTCCCCGCGATGTTCAACGACCTGTCGCCGGCGACGGCTGTTACTCAGCGACGACGCTTCGCACGTGCCACTTCGATCGCATGCCTGACGAGCTGGTCGCAGAAATCGCGCGGTGCGTCTTCGCTAAAGCGCAATCGGCGGCGGACGTCGCGGGGATGCTCGTGACGTGCAGGCGGTTTAGCAGCGTTTGCCATCCCGCCGCCAGCTGGTCGCTACGCGCCTCGGCCGCCATCAAAATGCTTCTGCCGGCAGACGCGGCGCGATGGACGGCGGCGGCGCAGCGGCTGCTCCTGAGCGCCGCGGCGGAGGGCAACCTCGAGGCGATTTACGTTGTGGGCATGGTGAGTCAGCATTTGCCGACTCGGCGCATTGTCGTGTTCGCGCAAGCATTTTCCCTCCCTGTCGCCTCTCCGATATTTCTTTCAATTTACCCCCCCTTTTTGAGTATAAACTTACTAATTCCCCCACTTCCCCTCCGCCTCCCCGCGCATTCTTCCCCTCCAGATTTCCTTCTATTGCCTCAACAACCACTGGGCGGGCGCAAAGCTCCTCGCGCAAGCGGCGGAAGCGGGGCACGGCGCGGCGATGTACTCGCTGGCAATAATCAACTTCCACGGCAGCGGCGGCGCGGCGGACGACGCGAATCCCGAGGTCGGCGTGGAGCTGAGCTGGCGCGCTGCGCGGCTCGGGTTCCTCCCCGCGTTACAGGAACTCGGGCATTGCTTCTTAGACGGATACGGCGTCGCGCAAAGGACGTCCTTAGGGCAGCTGCTGCTACAGCACGCGGCGGCGGGGCTGGCGGAAGCGGACAGACGGGGAAGCGCAAAGGCCAAGGCGCGCTCCGCGCCCGTTTCCCCCGCGTGCGCGGAAGCAGGAGCAGCGGGAAGCGGAGGCCGAGTGGCACAGGGGCAGGCGCAGGTTGCGCAAGCGGGAACGCGGAATTCGCAGCAGCAGCAGCCGCAACCGCAGCAGCGGGAGCTCCGCCGCATTCCGCGCTCGCGCAGCTGGCCGCAGTGCCATGTTTCTTCCCCCGGCGGCGAAGTCTCGGCCTCCGCCCGCGCGCGCGTGTGCGCGAGAGGTGACTGTAACGCGAGGGGTGACTGTAACGAAGCGTGCGGCAGGGGGATGCTGCGAGGCGCTGACGCTGGAGGCGCGAGGCTTAGGGGGGATGTGACTGTAGAGGGCAGGGGGAACGGTGGCGCTAGAGGCGCGGGGGAAGGAAAGGACGAGAGGGAGATCAACGGTCGCGATGACGCGCAAGGGGAGGAGCGGCAGATGCTTAGAGAGGCGGAAAGTGCACGAGCTCCATCCGAACCAGGGGTTGATCGAACCATGGTTTTCTCACTCTGTTCTGAGGAGGAAGAGAGAGAGGAGGGGCAAGAGGGGCAGAAGCGGCAGGGGGCGGAAGGGGAGGAAGACGCAATGGGAATGTTGCTGCTGCTAGAAGAGATGGCGGGGGAGAGAGGCGTGGAGGGAGCAGAGAGCAAGCGGGAGAGCGAGCTGGAAAACCAAGGGTTTGAGGCTTTCCCGTTGTCCCTGAACTGTCCCTCTCGCCGCCTTCGCCTGTCTGTGAATCAGCAGACGCAATTGCTTCTTCTGCTGCTGCTGCTGCAGGTGCTCTAGCTGGTATCCTGAGAAGCTATGGGGGCGTGTGTGGAGAGGACCAAGACTCCTGGATAGACTCAGACGATGATGAGAGTGATGAGGAGGGGGGTGAGGAGAGCGAGGAGGAGAGCGAGGAGGAGGAGGAGAGGGAGGAAGGGTCAAGCAGCCCACTGCTCTCTGCTGCGTCCTTCGCCTCTCTCGCTTTTATTCGGCAAATGCTCCCGCTTACCGCCTCTCCTGCTGCTGTTTCTGCTACTGCCGCCGCCGCTGCCACTGCTACAGCTGCTCCGGCTGTAGCTGCCACGTCAGCAGCTGCCGCATCCACCGCAGCCCTCCAGCTGGCGTTTCCGCGGCCGCAGGCCGCCCATCGCGTGCACGACTTCCTCGCCAGCTGGCACGCGCTGCGCTCGCTGCCAGCTGGCAGGCGCTGCTGCGGTAACCCTGCGGGCTGCCGCCCGGAGACGAGGGAGAATGAGTTCAGGAGTTGTGTGCGGTGCGGGAAGGCCAAGTACTGCAGTCGGTCGTGCCAGGTGGCCGATTGGAAGTTCAGGCACTCCTTCATCTGCTGCCCTGAGTAAGAATTGGGCTTTGAGATGCTTCACAAGAAATTTCAGGGAGTTAGAGGCATTCTTTCACTTGGTGCTTGGGCTCCGGGCGGCACTGCCTGTTCATTCAGATACCGTCATCACCCGGATATAAGACAGTGTTGAATAGTAGACAGGGGTTGTCTACTATACGGGTGTCTCTTATAAACAGGCTAGCCTCATTATAAGACACCTATTTGTGTGTATGAGATAAGACATATATGTCTTATAATCGAAACTTCAATAAATTATAGCGAAAGTTGAAGTACCGCGTACTTTTTTACCCTTGCGAAGCGCGAATTCTTCCACGCGCTGACCCAGGACCTACCAAATTTGCCCCTGCAGGTGTTCTCCATAACGTGGCGTCTCGGGCAGAGGTTGTCGAAGTGGCACCTTCGCAACATCCACACGCATTATGAGAAATTATAAAATTTAAACACACATTGTGTTTTTTAAATTGTGTATTGTGAAAGCGAAGCTGCTTGTACTGCACATTTGGCATCGTCGAAGCGCGCTAAACGCCCTTCTCCAACTACAAAAACCGTGGGTTGGAGCTCATTTCCCTCCACCCACGTTTCTCTATTTCCAACGGCTCACTCAACTTTCCCGCTCGAGTAGTTTTTTCCTCCGTCCAAACTGGCTAGAACCAAAACGCTTCCTCGAGGCGTTTCACCCTCGACTTTACTCAGCGATATTTTTAACTTCAATCGCTCAACGATGGCACCTACGCCGGCACTTAACAACGACAACTCGGCCAACCCCGCTTCCGACTCCGACCGTAACGCCCGCGATTTTGCGGGCGATCGACGTAACAAGCGTCGGGCAGAAGATGGACCTTCCGCCCCGACTGGAGTGGACGTGCTGCTGGGCGGGCTCGATGCCCAGCACCCTTCGGCGAATGTGGCGCCAGTGGCAGCGGCGGCTGGCGCGACACACGCGACTGACGCGGGGCACACGCCAGCACCCGCGGCTGGACCGTCGCGTCAGCGCCAGAGGCGACGACCGGCGGTCTCCTCGTCTGACGCGACGGCGACCCCTACGCTGACGCAGGCGTTGACCCCGGACCAGGTTAACGCGCTGCTGTCCCTTCTACAGCAGCAGCCCGTCAGCATTACAGCCGCGGAAACTGCACTTCCTGCTGCATCTGCGTCTGCTAAAAACGAAACTGCAAAAAAGGAAAAAGGAGTGCGAGAAGCAAGGACGAATCGGCGCAACAACGACGCAGCGACCGGCGTTCCCCCTGCTCCAGCGGTCGACAACGACACCGACGACTCCGAAGATGACGCCGGTGAGGCTCCAGTCGACAATACTAATTTTATTGGCACGGAAAATCTCCCCCCCCTCCCTTCTTCTAACCTCACTTTTTCGGCGACGACATTCGTCAACGACTCCGTGCGAGAGCAAGCGGAGCTGCTGGAGGACTTGCGCGCGTACCTGCTGCACGCGGAATACAAGGCGCAGCGCGGCGACTCGGCAGGCGGACTCGAACTCATCTCACACGCCCTCAACCTCATCGCGGGGCGTTTCGAGGTGCTTCAAGTGGAGGACGCCTCCGACTTCCGCACGGCGAAGCGCTTCAAGCTGTACCAGCAGAAGAGCCTGCTGACCTCTCGACCCTTCAAGCAGGCGGTCGCGGACATGGCTGCGATGGACCGCGCCGCAAGCGCATACGCTCGCGTCAACCGCGGCGGAAGCAACGCGCCGATGCCGTTCATTCCCAAGCGGGGTCCCCCACCCACGGCCAATTGTCGTGGGTTTCGGGGCTCGTGCTTCCGCTGCGGCCAGCCGGGCCATGTGGCAAGTGCCTGCCCTAGGAACGAGCATGGTGGCCAAGGTCCCGCTCCGGTAGTGTAGGAGCGGACCATGGGAAATGCGCTCGGAGCGCAAGGCACGGTGCACTCTAGAGTGCGGAAACCGTGGGCAGCCCTAGGGGTTTGCGATGGCAAGAGGCCAGCCCTAGACAAGGGTAGAGTAGGCCTTGGGCCTAGGTTAGGGAAGGGGAACATCAACCCCTCGGTCCCATGTATTGGCCACTAGGTGGCGTATGCATGCTAGGAAAGCATTGCTATGTGTGTCGGGTCGATTTAATAAAACATTATTCCTAAAGGCCCTCTGATTTTGGCAAGTGACACTCTAAGAAACAAAGAAGTGGTGCAGAGCAAGAGAGAAAGAGAATCAGAGAGAAAGAAAGAGAGAGAGAGAGAGAGAGAGAGAGAGAGAGAGAGAGAGAGAGAGAGAGAGAGAGAGAGAGAGAGAGAGAGGGCATGGACAGCCGCATCCAATCGTGTGTGGACCGTGGGGCGAGCCGGTCGGTGCTCGGCACACTCGTTGACATAGCAATTCATTATCAATTCTGTCCACACCGTTTACAAGTGATCTCAAGCACGTGCACACATGCAACACACGTATTTTTAAATAAAAAGTGCAACCCTTGTCCCATGCCACGAACACACAGGAGCGTGGCAATACGAGGCGGCATGCGGCGACGACCCATACGAATTTGCCATAACGGACAAAACCGTTACACATATGCGCGGCCGGCTTCGCGCGACCTTTGCATGGTGGAGCTCATGGTGCTCGAGTAGCCTTGTCCTCTCCGTCATAGCCAAAGGCTATTGGTTGCCATGGAGCCACGGCCCACCGCAACCCTTCCACGATCGCAACCATGTCGGGGCGAACACGCATGCCACATTCACACGTACTGCCGTACAAGAACTCACAGAGACCGGAGCGGCAGTTCCGATGGCCGCAAAGGAGCTTACTTGTATAAGTCCGCTCAACGTGGTCGAGCAAAAAGACAAATGCAGGCTCATTCTTGATCTGAGGAAAGTCAACGCCCACTTAATTGTCCCCAAGTTCAAGTACGAGGGACTTAACCGGGTGGCCGACCTGGCACGCGCTGGGGACTGGATGTTCTCCATCGACCTCAAATCCGGCTATCACCACATCGACATCCACCCCTCGTGCTGGAAGTTCCTTGGATTCGAATTTGGTGGACACACATACGCATTTCGATCCCTGCCATTCGGACTCGCCACAGCTCCATTCGTCTTCACGCAACTCATCAAGCAACTTGCTCGGCGTTGGCGAGAACAGGGCATCCGAGTAGTGCCATACGTGGATGACATTTTATTTCTCTGCCAGTCAAAGGCCCATGCGCAAGCTACCTGTCAGCGCGTAATATTGGACCTCAAAGCAGCGGGGCTGGTGATAAACACGAAGAAATCGCAGCTCTCACCATCGCAGCACCTTCGATTTTTGGGTGTAGAGTTGGACACCGACACCGGCCGATTCTCCATCGGTCCCGACCGACGAGTCGCGCTACATGCAACCATCCAGAACCTCCTAAGTGCAAGCAAGGCAAGCACACCAGTCCCCGTCCGTCATGTGGCCAGAGTCACAGGCATGCTCGCCTCAATGAGTGTCGCACTAGGCGCGACAGCTCGCGCATTCAGCCACGCCATGTTACAAGTGATCAACGACGCGCCGTCATGGAAAAGCAGTGTGATCGTCTCCCCATCTGTTGCTGAGGAGCTCAACTTCTGGCGCGAAGAGTTTGATCGGTTTAACGGTGCACCATTCCACGTCCGAAACAGTTACGACGCTGTAATCCATGTGGACGCCAGCTCTCACGGTTGGGGCGCCACCCTGACCACGTTCCCGGGCGGCCTCGAAGAAGCTAGTGCAACCATGCCAGAGCCGCTACGAGCAACGTCCAGCACGAGACGGGAGATTGAAGGCGTCTTTTGGGCAATCCAAACGTATGCCAACAAGATCCAGAAAAAACACGTTCTCGTGCGGGTGGACAACCAAGGTGTATTCTTCATCCTTCGCAAAGGCGGCTCTCGCAGCCCCGACCTCACCATGGCCTGCAAGGGCATCATACGAACATGCATGGAGCTCGGCACGCGCTTAATCATCGAATGGATTCCCCGCGAACTCAACTCACACGCTGACGAGCTTTCCAAAATAGTCGATCACGACGACTACTCGTTGAAGACGCCATGGTTCCGCATCTTGGAACGTCGTTGGGGTCCCCATTCCATCGACCTTTTTGCAAACTCCCGCAACACCCAGCTATCGCGCTTCTGCACAAAGATCCCTCACCCAGACGCCTTCGCAATTGATGCATTTTCGCTCGCATGGACAGGCGAAAATGGTTTCGCGTTCCCCCCACCCCAATTGGTCCCCGCCGTCCTCCACCACGCACAACGCACCCACGCATCACTCACACTGATAGTTCCGCACTGGCCGGGCACAAGCTGGTGGCCACTACTACAACCCTCCCCATGCACGTGGGCGTCACACATCCATGCACACATCCCTCTGACACACGGAAGCCAATGCTTAGCTGCAGGGACACATTCCACTGCCTTCTCAGGCTCAGGATTACCGCACAGCCCAATCATAGCACTCCGAGTGGTATTTGACTAA